TCTCCTGGAGACTCCGAGAGAGCCGGACCCTCCCACTCCCGTGATTCCTTGGGAGCCAGCGCTCGCGCGGAGGGAGGGGGGGAAGAGAAGGGGCGGGGCTGAGGCGGACCGGAAGCTTCATGGCTCCCATTTCCGGTTAGGGGGGGAGGGGCAACTCTCGGACCCTTGGGTTCTTTTGAGATGAAAGGAGAGACTCTGAGCCTTTAGGGGGAAAATTAAAAATATCCCCTCCTTTTCCTGCCTAAGACAAAAGGAGATTTCCCCCCCACACTAGGACCACATTAGGCCTCCCAATTTTAACATTTTATTGTTTTTAGTATTAAACATGGTCCTCCTTCTGTGGCTTCACCAACACAGCCAGTTTCTAAAGACATATAAAGAAATAAAATTATTTTCTCTCGAGCTAGCATCAAGGAACGTGTTCCAAGACAGCCTTTGGAGCCCCTGGCTGATTCTCAGCAGTACCTCACATGATCTGGAGACTATATTTTGGTTAACGCAGCCTAAAATGGCACTTGCCTTTTTTCCAGCCACATAACACAGTTGGCTCATGTTCAACATTTGATCTACAAACCATTCCTCACGTAGTGCTGCCTGATGCAACTGTATCAGCTAACAGGGATCCCTCCTCACACAATGCACAATGGCATGGAAGATATTTTATTTAATTATGTTCACGTCTGGCATTAACAAAAGGATTTGACACATTTCCATCCAAACTCATCCCCTATTTTCAACAGGTTGGGATTTCTCCACAAAACCAGGCCACAAACCCATCTGCCTACATTTCACTCCTGAGTTTGCAAGACTTTCCGCTTGGGGTCTTCCACGAGTTGAACTACAGACATCCACTGGACTTATTTTTAGTTTTTCTTAAGAAAAAAAGCAGAGATATCACCTGCAACCTCCCCCTTTCTTAGGGACTTCTCCTGCTGCTGCTACGCAACCACACATACCACTCCATGGCTCTCTATCAGTCTACATCTTTTTATTTTCTTCTTTTTAAATTGAGGGGTTTTTTCCAAAAGAAGAATCATCCTGCCTCTAAGAGGGTCCTAGCAGGCCTGGCCCTGGTTGAGTGGGATGAGAAGCAGGAGGGTTAGGTGTGGAACCGCCCAGAAAGCAGCCCCAGGCGATCAATGTTCTTATGCAGGACGCTGTGTAAGACGTAAAGGTATTTGCCAACGTCAACGTCTCTGGAAAAGTCTCGGAAGAAGAGGCCCGTGTCGGCGTCGAACGAGAACTTCTGCGGCAAGGGGCTGTTGTCCCGCATGTAGTCCCAGACGCTCAGCAGCAAGAGATGCACCTCGAAGGGGGCCAGCTGGTCAAAGATCTCGTGCATGTTGCTGAGGAGAGGTGGGAGCAGGTGCCCTTCCCCCATGCAGGCCACGAGGGCGCAGGAGGCCTGCAAGTGCCAGGGCGAGCTGGTGGTGTCGTTCTCCCGCGAAGCCTCCCAGTGGGCCATGAGGGTGGCCATGAGGCCGCGGAGGAGCACTGAGCAGTAACACAACGCCGGCCGCCCCGAGGCCACCAGGCTCAGCAGCTGGAAGAGCAGAGGGTTGTCCCGGAAGGAGCGCTCGATCTGGAGGTCCCGCTCCACCGTGTTGCGAGTGTGCTCCTCCGGGGGCCAAGCCAGCTCGCTGTTGGTGACGTCCGGGCAGACGGTATCCACCAGGACGACGGCCACCGTCTTAGCGGCCTCGGGGCCGACGGCACTGCGCCGGGAGGGCTCCGGGCCGCAGCGCCCAGCCCCACAGCACTGCAGTAGCAAGCTTAGGAAAGTCTGGACATTCTGGGAGATCTCCTCCGGTTCGTGGCGGCGTGGGGCGTGGGGGGGCTTCAGACCCTTGCCAATCACCCCGGCGTGGAAGACAGACCACACACTGCCGGAGAAATTCACTGCGGCCGTAAAACGCCGGTTGATGTCCAGCAGGGAGACGCTGGCGCCTTCCAGCCTGGCATCGTTCCTGACAGAGGGTGGCTGGGCCGTTCCACCAAAGAGCTCGGTGTTGCCCGGGTGCAGGGCGCCTTCCACCAGGTATTGTAGGATCGCTTTGCTGGCCATGGGGGACGCCCTGCTGAGGCAGCCCAGGAGGCGGCTCCCGTAGCTGATCCCCGTGGGATACTGGCAACGCAGCACCAGGAAGAAATGGTGGACCGCAGAACGGATGAGGAAGAGGAGATGAGCCGGCCGGATGGCCTTTGGCATGGGGCAGACCGAGAGCAGCAAAGAGGCCGCTTGGGCCACCTCGGGATTGTGGTGCAGCAGAAGCTGGCCAAAGTCGTACACGTGGGAGGAGACCGCTTGGCCGAGCTGCTGGCCCATCGAGGCCGGGCCTTCGCCCTCCCACTGCATGATCAAGGCCAGGTTCTGGAACAGCTGGGCCATGTGCGGCTCAGAAAGAGCCCCAGCATGGATCTGACAGATGCACTTCTTCATCGTCGCCGGCAGCAGACCGCTCATGCAAGAGCTGAGCACGGCGTAGAGCTGGGTGGCTAAGCTGAGCTCCTCTTGGCTCCTGGCCAGCGTCAGCAGGTAGAACAGGGCCTCACCGGCGCAGCTGGGGGTGCAGTAAACGGACAGCAGGACCAGCAGCTGGTGCTGCCACAAGAACCGCTTCCTCTCCAACTGCAGCGCCTCCACGCACAGCTCGCGCACGTGGCCTTTCAGCTCATCCAGAAATGGGACCACTCGGGGCGGGGCCTCCGCCAAGCTGGCCGAGCCCCGATTGTACACCAGTTTCTGCAAGTTGAGGAGGAGAAGCTGAATGATGCGATCGCAGGCTTCCCGCACGCTGTCGTGGACGGCCAGGCCCGGGGTGGTGATGACAGAGGCCGGCATGGCCGTGTTGATGAGGAACTGGAGGGTCCGGTAAGCGCCTCCGGACGTCTGGCAGATGAGATGCACCACGATGCTGACCATGTTTTCCAGGTCCTCCCGAGGCAGGGAAGCAAAGTGCTGGTGCAGTTGGTTGAGGACGCTGGGTTTTAAGGAATCCACCAGTTCGGCCGAGATGGTGCCCAGCAGAGTGGGGGACATGACCGCCAGCTGGAGTAAGAAAGGCACTGTCGCTTTCTGCTGCTGGTCCCAGGCAGGGCCCAGACTCCCGTGGAACATGCGCAACAACTCCTGCTTGATGCTCTCCGAGTGGCGAGAGGCCAGGTGACCCAAAATGCCCACGACCGAGGCAATTTTGGGCACCCTCTTGTCGGCCGCTGTGGCGCTCGGGAAAAGGAGGAGATCGGCGGAAGCCGAGCCGTGCATGCAGAAATCCTTCAGCCCGCAGGAGAGCACCCGGTTGATGATGGTGTTGGGGAAGGAGGAGCCGATGTGGGCCACCACCCAGTCAAAATGAGGGGAGTGCTGGACGGACGTGTCAAGGAGGGCGTCCACGCAGGCGTCCGGGCAGCTGTTGATCATGGAGGAGAGGCACTGGGTGTAGATCTCCATCAGCGTCCGTGTGGCCTTGCAGGACATCCATAGCTGCAGGAGTTCATTGAGGCTGCTGGCGTGGGGGACCCCGTGGCGCCCGGCGTATTTGCTACTCAGCTGCCCCATCAGATCGATGGACCAGGTGGACACCAAGGCCGCCCAGGCCTTGGGATCCATGCGGACAAAGTCGGAGAGCACGGCCTGGATTTCCTGCACCACATCGTCCAGGTTGGGGCCCTGGGAGCGGATGGAGCCCATGCCGTTCTCGCTGCTCTCGAGATCCATCAAGTAGGTGCACACGTACTCGTCAAAGACGCCGCGGAGGTGATCCAGGACAGCGCCGCGGGCAGGGGGCAGGTTGCGCAGCAGTAAAATTGCGCATCTGGCATGCTCTTTAATGGTGAGCTTGTTGCCGTGTACAGGGTCCACTCCACTCAGGAAGGCCTTGATTTCCTGAGCAAGTTCTTGGGCACTGCAAGAAAAAGAGAGAGAGAGAAAAAGATGATGTCAACCCCAAAGCAGGGGAAGTTCTGGTGGGAAGTAAAATGAAATGCTGAGAAAAAAAATCACCTCATAGCGATTTTCCTTTGTTTACCCTGTCAGAAATAAGCTTCTCCATGAAGCAACCCCTCTGTTACTAGATTCAAAGGCATTGGGGTTGTTTTGTTCCATTTATATCCTGCCTATCTTTCCGTAAGCTCATGGTGCCATATGCGATGCTCTTTTTAATCATGACAACCTTGAAGGGTAGGCCATGCTGAAAGAATATGTGACTGGCCTGAAGTCACCAGTGAGTTCAGTGAGGATTTGCACGGGGCTTTCCCCCCCCCAACATGTGACTGGCCTAGCACTCCAGCTGCAAGCTGGGGGTAATCAAATGCACCAAACATTATAACAGGGAACCAAATTATGATGTGTTCTAATAGACAGCATTTAGTTTCCTTTAGTTCTGATTAGTACCAGATTAGGTTCCAGAAAGAGCCAGCTGTTGGTACTAGAACAGATTCACAAGCCCAACAGCAGCATTCACAGTTTCTGCATAAAACGCTATGTACATTAACAGTAGCAACAATACCGTAAGTTGTGGGATATGCAAGTAAATGAAAATACTCATGCAGCGTATTTTGCTGCATGAGGCAAAACAGATAAGCTGTGGCAAGTGCAAGTAAATGAAAATACAGCGTATTTTGCTGCATGAGGCAAAACAGGAAATGGTACCCTGCTCCTTTCCAGTTTTAGATACACATTATCTAAACTCAGCCCAGTTACTTGGCTTATACATCAGAAAATGCCACAAGCCCCTCTCTCCCTGCCTAGCAATAGACATTCAATAGTGGTGAAGTACATCATTGGCAGTGCCTCAGCTTCATACCCCAAATCTGCCACCTGAGGCAGCTGCCTCTCTCCCCACAGTGTTAGGGCTGTTGATGGCTTTCCCTGTCGGTTGTTGTTATGTGTTGCCACGTTGCCTCCGACTTATGGCAATCCTGTGAATGAGTGCTCTCAAAAATATCCAGTCCTCAACAGCCCTGGTAAACTCAAGGGGGTGGTTTCCTCGAGAGAGTGAGTCCATTTCGTATTTGGTCTTCCTCTTTTCCTGCTCCCTTCCACCTTTCCCAGGCTTATGATCTTTTTTCAGGGAATCCTGCCTTCTCGTGAGATGCCCAAAGTAGGACAGTCTCAATTTCCACATTTCGGCCTCCCTTCCCCCTTTTCCACCTCACACATTAGATTGTAAACTCTTTGGAGAAGTAAGTCTGCTTCATGTCAGTTCTGACTTAAGGCACACGTAATGAAGAGCCTTCTATGTATGTGAGACACTCAAGAAGCGACTTAACACTGCTGCCTCCCAGTCCTAACTCCCCACACCCTATCCAGTACACCACACCATGGCTTCTCACGGGTAAATATCTATCTATCTATCTATCTATCTATCTATCTATCTATCTATCTATCTATCTATCTATCTATCTATCTATCTATCTATCTATCTATCTAAAACATTTTACCTCGCTTTTCTCCTTGAAAAGGACCTAAGGCAGCTTAAAACAACGAAATACAATATTTAAAGTGGAAAACAACGGGGGCTAACTTCATCAAAAGATAATATTTAAAACCAGGGGCAATGAATAAGGAGGCATCTTTCATCAATGGACAGGCAACATTAAGGCAAAGATCAGTAAGTATACTAGATAATAAGGACGCATCTTACATCAATGGACAGGCAATATTAAGGCAAAGATCAGTAAGTATACTAGAGTTATTCAATCAACTGGGTCTCAGGAGGCAGTGACTCACTAAATCCCCACAGATTCAACAGGTTGACCCCTTTACTCTGCTAAGGCAACAGGTTTCAGCCAGGAATCCTCACCAGAGCAGATACTTTTGCAAACTTTTTCATCCTAGGGAGGGAAGAGTCCGGATAGCGCTGGGAAGGGCCCCAGTCCCGGTTTACCAGCCCCAGAGCCTGCCAAGATCCAGTAAAAGGTGGCGGTTTCTAACCCAGGGGGTGGTGGGGAGAGCCCTCCCAAACCCCCTAAAAGAGGAGAGAGGTCCAGTACCTGAGCGATGGAGGGCCAGCTGCTGGCTTGGGGCTGGGGGTGGACCCTGTAGGCCCTCCCACCCCCGGAGGATCACACAGAGCGGACATGCCGGCCGTGGGAAGGGAGGGGAGAAAAGTTGGAGAAGCACAAACCCTCCTGTTTTTAAAAAAAATTGCTTCCCCCCCAACAACTTCTTCCGCGCCTGCGCACGCGGGAGAATGAATGGGGGAAGATGAAAAGCAGCGCACGAGAGGGGTTCCCGGAAATAGGGCCCGTGCGGATGCGGAGAACTCCGTCGCCAACGTTCCTACACGATAGGGCTCCTAAGGTGGGACTTGATTTCTAGTGGCCCTAATAGAGTTTTCCAGATAAATTAAAGTCTTTCAGGAGTGGTTTCACCAGCTCCTCGTTGCCCACTGGGTTCCCATGGCCGAGAAAGGATTTTAAACCAGATTTCCTGGGTCCTAGTCCATCATGCAGTTCAGGAGGGCTTCTCCCCACATACATGGATGTGGGAAATTTAAAAAAGGCATACTGTATCTAGCACTCTAGTGTTGGAAGTCGGCTTGTTTGTCTGTTCATCTGTTCGTGACTGCAAGTCATGGAACTTTTTTTACTCTTTCTCCTACAAATGTCTCAAGAGTGAGTTAGTGAGAGCTTAAGGGCCAGGTAATGAGAAAGGGGTGGACTAT